GTTTGCGCAGGCGTCTTGGGGTCGAGTCATGCACGAAGAGGTGGGGCTTCTGGAGGGAGCCTCAGTTTCTCCGCGGCCAACGGAATCCCTAGCCTCCAGCAGGGTCGGTTGGGCGGGAATCAACCACGCGCCCGGCGGCCTCATTGGGGTCTGTTTGCGCAGGCGCGCGGGGCAGAGTCAGCGCGAAGGGGCGGAGCTTCGGGAAGGAGCCCCAGTTCCTTAGCGGCCGGAGGAGAGGGCGGAGTCGAAGGCGGGGCGCGGCCGCCATGCAGGCAGCAGACGCAGGCGCAGGCGGCGGGGCGGGCGGCGCCGACGGCCGGGACGGCCAGGACGGCCAGGGCCTCCGGGCCGGTGGGGGCGCGGCGGCATCTGCAGCCGGCGGAGCTCCGCGCGTCACGCGAGTACAGCACGCCTCAGGGCCGGGGGTAGACGCCGCGTCCACAGCCAGAAGGCTGGAAAGCCGACTACACATGTTGTATCCTACCCGAGGGGACAGCGGGGAATGGGCTGGGGGCTGCCTGCGGCGGGGAGTTGAGCTGCAGGGGACAAACGGGTCGGTGAGCAGCCTAGGGGCGGAAAGGGGAGCCGGAGGAGGCTGGGGCTGGGAGTGGTCTGGCGGGAGAAGAAATGAGAGCAGGGGGGTACGGGGTGGCTGGGGAGGACTAGGGCCAAGAGTGGTTTGGACCGGGTGGAAGCAGTCCTGAAGGGAAGGAGACTTGTCAGGGTGGCCTGAGAGGGAGCCCGAGGCCGAGTCGGTATTGAATGGTGCCTTAACCGAATCTCCACCAGCGCCCTCAGCGTGCCTTTCCCGTCCTCCTTAGAGGCGGAGATCGCCCATGGGTCCCTGGCCCCAGATGCGGAACCCCACCGAGGGGCGGTTTGGAAGGAGTTCTCAGTGATTGGCAGCGTCCTGGCGGTGTAAATTCTAATAGGGGCTCGGTGGGGTTGGCAGCGGGTGGCCAGGCCACCGAGGGGCGCTCTATTGGAGTCCCGGAGACGAGAGTTAGGTCCAGAGAGGGGACGTGGTCCGCTGGACCCGTCTCCACCTGAGAGGGCGCTCTAATGCGCATGGCAAAGGGTTCGCTGTAATGGATGCCTGAGGGGCAGAGCAAGGAAGGGGAGGAGTCACCGCCTCCAAATTGAATTTCTTTTCCCCTCCCTTTTAGCCGCTGGAGAGCTGAAGATTCTCGCCTCCTCCGAATTTCCATCATCAACTTTCTTGACCAGCTTTCCCTGGTGGTGCGGACCATGCAGCGCTTTGGGCCCCCTGTTTCCCGCTAAGCCTCGGCTGGGGAAAGGGGGCTAAGGTCTAACCTTGTGTCCTGTCCTGGTCAGTGTACCCTCCCTAGGTTCCCGCAGTAGTTGCCACTTTCTTACGGGAGCCTCATCCTTGGCTGTATGGCCCTTGGGCGCTCAGGGTCCACTTGTTTTGTTTGGTGATTAAATGTTTGTTACAGCAGAAAATAAAACTGAGCTACTGTTCCGTGTCTGAGTTCCTTTTCAGCTACTGCACCTCCTAATATTCTTGCTTTTGTCCTCAGGTTGGAGGGCAGGTTCGGGATTCAGATGGTCCAGTAGTGCTAGGCAATTGAAGACAATTTAGGAAATGGAAGAAGATGGGTCCTGTCACTCACTATTAACTACTGTCAACATCTTGGAATATTTTCTTAGTTTTATAGTTAAATTTGTATAGTAAATATTTAACAATAATAGATGATACATAGTATCTTGCAAGTTTAGGATTTTTCCTGATATTTTTCATCTAACGTGAACTTTTTATAAAAATTCTCAAAAGCATTATTGAATAAATGCATAAAAGATAAATTATGATGTAATTATTGAACATTTAAATTATTTTCAATTTTTGCCATATTATAGGTAATGATTCAATGGAATTGTTGTATATAGATCTTTGCATGAATGATGGTTTGCTTAAGATTATAAGAGGTAGGATTACCACGTTCAATATTTACTATTTTTTTAAAGCTCTCAACGTACGGTGCAAAATTGCTCTCCAGAGAATGTGCCTTCTCAACAAAATGTTGGTTTCCCACATCGTTGTCACCACTGGGTCACCTCAGCAAAATTTTTTAAAAACTTAGTTTGCATGAGAACAACAAAAATACCCCAAAAATTCTGGAGTAGGAGCTTTGTGGCTTCCTGGCCTAGTCTCAGATCAGTGAAGAGAAAGTGGTGGGACAACTGTTTAAGCCTTTTGTTGGAAGAAGTTAGCTCCCTGTAAAATATGTTGTAGCCTGCAGCCTTGCTAAACTCACTTATTCTGGTAGCTCCTTTGTAGAATCCATCAGATTTTCTACATAGGTGATCATGTCTGCAAATAAAGGCAGGTTTTTCTTCTTTCTAATCTGGATGCCTCGTATTGCTTGATTTCTCTCCTCATTATGAGTTGGATTTTCCCGCTGCTCTGCATGCCTGGTAATTTTCGATTGGATGCCAGGCATTATGATTTTCCCTTGTGTGCTGGCTACCTTTGTATTCCTCAACATCTTCCTGAGCTTTGCTCTGGGGTGTGTTAAGTGCCTCGGAAACAGTCGGATCCTTTTGAGTCTTGCTTTGAAGATTTGCTGCGTGACACCAGAGCAGCTTTCAGTGTCAGAGTCATTTTTTTCCATGACCCTGAGACGAGACCCTTCTGAGCACCCTGCCCGAGGCCGCCTGAATTATGAGGTTTGCCATTTTGGCCAGTGGGGGTGGGCAGCCACTAGTCCCTGTCCTGCTGTAGGGCTAGGCATAGTTAACCTTTCATCCTTTGGGGGAAGGGAGGGGTCCTTTCACGGCCTCCCTCCAGTAGTTTCCTCACACACTTGTGCTGATCGGTGGTCTGCAGATTGCTTCAGCAGGACCCCCTGCGGATATGCAGGGTTCTCTCCCTCTGCAGCTCTCTTCTCTCTGGTCCCCTGTCCCTGCCAACTCTAGGTGCTCAGAGTTTCGGTTCCATCTCCTAAATTCAGGGTGTCCGTTGGGCCCCATCAGGAAACGCCCTCTCCAGTCAGTCAGCTGGGGCAACTGCAGGGCTTACCCATTTGTCCCCAGCTCCAAGAGACCACTGTCCTTCCCTGCCTGATAGCCGGTTTCTCCAAACCTGTAGTTCAGATCTGTTGTCTGTCTTTTGGGGTGTTTCAAGTGGGACGGTAGGTCCAGTCCCTGTCACTCAGTATGCCTGGACATAGTCCGCCACTGCAGAACTTGGACAGCTCTGATGTTGTGGGTTGGAGGGAGAGAGATGCTGTTGACGGGGCTGTGGCAGTGGTCCTGATGATGATGAAGAATCTCACCTGACAGCATGCAGCAGCTCTAGTGGCTACAGTGAGGGTCTCTTTCTCTCTTTTTTAAAATCACTTTTAAGACCTTAATTATTGACAGATAGATGAGAATTTAGCTCTTTTACACCATTATCCACTCCGCTTCCCCGCCCCCTCCTCCCAAAATAGTTCTATTCATTTCTTGCGGTTTCTATTTTCCCTGAGGTTAAAAACTGCCTTGTTTAGTTTTCCATTGGCTTAGCTTCTCTTATCTCATAATGATAATGTTTAAAACCATCTTCCTTGGCGTCCTCTTTCTTCTTCCTATCTGGGTCTCTCTAGGTCGCCTGCCTGCACAGCTGTCATCTTGGGACTTCCCTTTCTCTGGGCTGGAATCTTGTGCCTGGATCACATGGCTTTCCCTTTACTCTTTCACCTCTTCTTTTTGTTTCCTTGTCTGTGTTGGAAGTCAGCTTTGGTGAGGTCTAATTTCCACACTGTCAACTTCCCCCTTTTTAGGTGCACAGGTCCAGAGTTTTGGCAAACACATACAGTCACATAACCACTACCACAGTTCACTGCCTTGGCCCCATGGATGGACTGCTGAAGCTGCAGGCAGCTTTAACGCCTAAGTCAGGTCACGAAACCCCTCTGTTTCCAACCCTCCCTGGGCTCCCCTCTCACTCAGAGACAAAGCCAAGGTCCTTATGGTGGCCTACAGAGTCTGATGTGACCCAGCCTGCTTCCACTCTGGCCTCCTCTCCTCCCCTCTCCACCTTGCTCACTCTGATCCAGCCACATTGATTGGCCTCCTCCCCTTTCTAAAACACCCCAGGCCCGGGGCCGGCCCAGTGGCGCAGCAGTTAAGTTCGCACGTTCTGCTTCTTGGCGGCCCAGGGTTCCCCGGTTCAGATCCCAGGTGCGGACATGGCACCACTTGGCAAAAGCCATGCTGTGGTAGGCATCCCATGTATGAAGTAGAGGAAGAAGGGCATGGATGTTAGCTCAGGGCCAGTCTTCCTCAGCAAAAATAGGGAGATTGGCAGTAGTTAGCTCAGGGCTAATCTTCCTCAAAAAAAAAAAAAAAAAAACACCCCAGGCCCACGCCTACCTCAGGGCCTTTGCACTGGGCTCTTTCCTGTCTGGAACTCTCTTCCCCCAGGGTTCCTGGCTCACTCAGATATCAGTCCTGGCCACTCCATTTAAAATTGCATCCCACTTTCTCATCACCTGCATTACTTTAACAGGAGTGGGGAGTAAGAGGGAAGTGGGGGCATCATGATGGAGATATAGCTGGAACAGTAAAGAATTGTCAGACATGAAGGAGTTTGGGTACAATGAAGCCACTGGAGGGTTTTAAACAGAGCAGGACAAGATAGACCTTGTATCTTACCAGGATCCGAGTGCCTCCCACGTTGAGACCAGGCCAAGGAGGGGCAAGGCAGATGCAGGGAGATTGGCATCCAGGTAAGAGACAAGGGTGGCTTGGACCAGGCTGGGAGCAGTGGAGGTGGGGCGAGGTGAGGTGATTCTGAATATATCTTGAAGGTGGAGCCACCAGGACCTGCCGGTGGGTTGGACATGGCCCTGGACCTCCTCAAATCCTCAGAAACCCTGCAATGAGTTACCCTTCCTCCCACAAAGGGAGTCCAGCTCATCTGCAGTCCAGCAGTCTCCCCACCTGCTCCCATGTTCTCCGACCACCCACCTGCCTCAAGGACAAAGCCACACACTGACTCTGTTTTCCCAACATTTAATTAGGAAAAAAAATTACACGAACAAAGAAGAACTCATGCAACAAAAGAGGAGAGAATGGAATTTCCAGGACTGCGAGACAGGGCCTGATTCCTCACAGGAGGCAGAAGGACAAAGGACTAAGGCACTGCCGCCTCAGCCCCTTGGGGCGGGCGCAGGACAGGGCAGCTGAGGACGAGGGGGTCGGGGGCAAGTGCAGACAACACTGAGGATGTTTGGCAGTAGGGCCGGGAGAAGGAGAGCCGGAGTCCCTGGGCCCAGGTCAGGCCCCGGCACAAGCCTGGTTCTAGCTCTCCAGGGTCTCAGAGAGAGCAGGGCCCTGTACAGGACAGGCCAACTCCCGAGAAGTCTGAAGGGAGACGCTGTGGCCCAGCTGCAGGGGGACGCCTGGGCACAGCCACAGTCTGAGGGCGGCTTCAGGTGCATCATCCCACCCCAAGTGCTGCTGGCACCGAGGCTGCCTTCCTGGTATGGGTGGGGCCAGCCATGGCAAGGGTGAGGTGCCAGAGGCTAGGCCAAGGCTGACAACGTCACAAGGGAGCCAGGACGACTCAAGGAGAGAAGGTCAGTGAAGTTGGCAACATGCCAGGGGTGACACGTATTTACAGATGGAGACAGTGAGGTGGTGGTAAATTAAATAAATAGGTGGTTGGGGGTATAAATAGCAAGGAAGGCAGGGGCCGTGGCAACACCTGGGCACAAGGGCAGGAGGCTAAGGGTATTGCTGCTGCTGGGGTGCGGGGCTTGGTCCTGTCATCCTCTCCCCCTCAGCCCCCAGCCCCCACCCCGGTGGGGCCCAAAGCAAGGCACTAATGAAGGGGGCCCAGGTGTGCCAGGGGCACACTGGCCCAGTGACCTCCCCCGTGCCACCCGATCCAGGGCTCAGCCCCCAGCCCCAGGCGTGAGCCGCCCCCCTCAACGGGAGGACAGCTCAGGACCGAAAAGGCCCCTCCTCACCGGTTCCGCCACCCTTAACTGTTGCTGGACAGGAGGGTGATGATGTGTTCCAGCTTCTGGCGCAACTTATGCTTCCGACAAGACGCATCTCGGTCCAGAGCGGTGAGAACCTGGGGCAGGACGGCCCCCCGGAGCTGGGCTCTCGAGGAGGGGCCGGCTCCTCCGGGGCAAAGCCCCCCTCCCCAGCTTGAGCAGCTTGAGCTCTTCCTTGCCTCACGCCTCAGCACATCCCTCCTCCCAGGGGGCCCTGGGCAGGCGCGTGGGAAGGGCTGCAATCTCTCACCTCTGAACACACCCTCCGGCTTCTCCTCGACCCCAAATCCTCCTCCAACTGCAGAACTCTCTGTCGTCCTCTCCACAGCCAGAGCGCGGCCCCTCCCAAGAGTGGTCTGCACTCGCTGTCCCCGATTTCCCCTTTCCCATCCGCTCCTATCGGCCCCCCCCAAAACCTCTCTTGTCCAGGTCTCCATGATCCTGATGCCAAGTCCCGGTGAGCGTTTGGGGCCTCATCTCCCTCGACCGTCGGCAGCACCCCACAGAGCCGATCACTCCCTCCTCCCTGAGCGCCCCCCGCCCCGGGGAGCCTCACTCATGTTCCAGGACCCGCCTGGCACTCTTGGGGTCCCTTCCACGCCTCTGGCCGCCCCTCCTCAGTCTCTGCTGCTAGCTCCCCGTCTTCTCGGCCACCTGTGGGTGTCCCAGGGCCCAGTGCTGGGGCCGCTTCTCCCTCTACACCCACTCGGCCGCCCTTGGTGAGCTCAGCCAGGCTCGGGGCTTTCAGGGCCATGTCCTGGCTCACAAGTTCTTGTCTCCAGGCAAGGATGCATCCTTAAGTCCACACCTCTGTGTCTCCTGCCTATTGGGGTCTCCAGTTGGGTTGCAAACACCACAGGCCCTACACGGGGCTGGCGCCACACACCTTCTGGCTCCACCCACTCCCCTCAAATCCCAGCATCTATGGAGAGTGTCACCTATGCTAGCCCGGGGACCTGGTCAGAGGGAACATCATAAGCAATCTGTCCCCTCCACCTCCTTGTGGCACTCCCTGACCCCCACCGACGCCCCTGCCTTTGCCAATGGCTGCACCCTCAGGGGGATTGTGGGGGTGGCACGCACCTCTTGGCGGTACTTGGTGACATAGAAATAGAGCTCGCTGAGTGCACTTAGGACATTGAAGTCGCTGGCGTGGAGTCGGGACTGCTCCACCAGGTAGGCATCCATATCCTGGTCGCTGATGGATGCCATCTTTGCAATGTCCCGGTAGTACCTGTTGGGACCCTGAGGTCACACAGGCAGGTGCCATAAAAGCCAAAGCCCCTGCCCTGGCAGCCAGGCTGGCCTCTGGGCCTTTTCCTGCAGCTGGCCCACCTAAGACAAGCCAGCCCAGGGAAGGCAGCTCCTACGCCCCTCACCCAGCAGCAACCTCCCTGGGCTGCCTGACCCTGCCTCCCCTCCGCCCAGCACACAGGGCTGCGGGGCAGGGCCCACCTCTCCACCCAGCTCTTGTAGTTGGGGATGTCCTTGGCGTAGAGCAGCTTGTTGGAAGGGGAGTCCTTGCCCAGGCGGTGCTCGGACGTGGAGCAGGAGTCCATGAAGGTCTGGGCTACCACCGACAGGCAGGCATCTGTGATGCTGCTCTTGTGGATGTCGAACACAAACTGCGGGTTCTTGATCACGTTCACCCAGAAGCGCAGGGGCAGGCTGGACAGAGGGACACACACCCACAGCTCCCTAGTCGCCCAGTGAGCACCCACCCATCACTGCTCCCCTCCACGGTTCCTATCTGGTCAGCTCCCATCTTGCCCAGAGTGGCAGGAGGGACATATTTAGGATTAGTGGCCTTTTCTCTAAGTTTCTGCTGGCCTTCAAGCAGTGAGACCTAAGAGTAAACAGCTCTTCTGTCCTCAGTGCATCCCAACCCCCGACAGAGACCACCTGGGCCAGGCAACCAGCATCTCTGCCCTGTGCCAGACCCCAGAGAGCAAAAGGCCACCTCTGGGCACTGGCCTTAACTACCAACATCCCACCCCCTCAAATGCATGGCAGAGCCCACCTCTGAAATTGCACTCACTCACTCGCCCTCTTTGCTTGCTGGCACCATTGACCCCAGGCCACAGTCCTCTCCTACCCGGACAACCACTCCAGCCCGTCAGTCACCCTGGCCCCATGGTCCCTGAATCTCAGCAAAGCCAGCCTCTTCTGCCCACCCATCCCTGGAGGGGCCAGCAGCATCCGGCATGGGGCAATACCAGTTGCTCTTCCAGGTGTGTCGCACATCGGGGTCACTGATCTGGCGCTGGTCGGCCTGCTCATCCAGGAAGTCAAACATGTACTTGATGGCCAGGGGCAGGGCCGAGCCCCGGTGCGCTGTGCTGAACACGGTCTCAAAGAGGTCGTCCACAAACTTCTGCAGGGTGCCCTGCAGGAGCACAGCAAGGGCACAGGCTGTGAGGGAGCCAGGCTGGGATGTCCCCACAGCAAGACAGACGGGGGGACAGAGAGGCTCAGCAATGAGCAAGGCTTCCCTGCAGAACCAATGCCCCTAAGATAGGCCCTGTCTCAACCTTGGGCTGGGAGTTCCCATAGCAAAGGCCCACTGGATTCGAACAATCCAGTGGTCTCCTCCCCACACAGGCCAGACAGGGCCAACCTCAGGGTCAAAACCAGGCTCGAAGGTGTCTGGGCTGAGGCCAGGCTGGTGCAGGGCAGGCCCACACCTTAGTGGCCAGCAGCCGTGTCAAGTAGATCTCTGAGACCATCTTGCTGCCACGGTCCCCCTCGCGGTGGTCGGCGTGGTCATGGTTCTTTACCAGGTGCCACAGCTTGGTGCCTGTCTCCTGGTCGGGCGTGATCATGGGCGCCCGAGAGCGGAGGCTATCGGGGCTGCTGGCTGTGCGGAGCAAGCTCTCTAGGGCAGAGGACAAGTGTGCCCCTTAGGCCAGGGGGACCACACCAGTATTGTCAGGGCTCTTGCCCCACCTGTCCTGGGAGCCCAGCTGGCTGAGGGGGGCCCGTCCACTCTTGCTGGCCCACCCCACTTCTAGGCTCTAAGGAACTGGAGACCTCCCAAGGGCAGGGCCCAGGGAGACTGCCAGAGCCAAGCTGGCCGCAGATAGGGGGTCCCCTGTGACAGCTGATACAGCCTCAAAGGGCACAGGGCCAGCAGAGGCCACCACGCTGAGGACACCTACCGTAGCGGCTGAGGGAGCAGGTGAAGGTAAAGGAGTTGGCCATGTTATAGGCAGATACTTGTTTGGGCACCAGTGCTACCACGGAACCATCTGTCACCTGGAGACCCCAGAGACAGAGAGGAGACAGTGCAGGAGGCCAAGAAGCCAAGGGACCTGAGCCACCAGCCACCCAGACCCTGCAGTGTACATGTAGGGCAGCAGCCAAGGCTCCTGAGGAAGGCCTGCGAGCACAGGTGCCAGAGAAGGGAGGAGCCAAGGTCCCTGCTCCTGAATCCTCAGGGCAGGGCTGCAGTACCCCAGTGGCCCTGGGGGTGAGTGGGCCCCCAGCCCCCTTACCTGGTAGTGGGCCAGTGAGTTGACCCTCTTCCAGTCACACTCGATCTTGGTGGTGACATCCTCATCCTGGAGGATGATGCGGGCCATGCGGCCCTGGCGCCATTCTGCAGGCCACAGATAGCCCTTGAGGTCCCGCACAGCATCCCCCAAGACCCTGGGCCCATTCCCCTCAGAGGACAGAGCCCAGGTGAGGAGTGTGAGCAGTGACCAAAGTAACATGGCCACAGGGTGGGGGCCAGGAGGAGAGGGTAGGGCCTCACCTAGGTCCATGTCCTCAGCTTTGGGGCGCTGGGAGTATGGGATGCCCTTGTACACAGCATCCAGCAGCTTGTCTTTGGCCTGGGTGATGCTGTCGCAGTTGAGAACCTTCACTGGGACCTGAGGGCTCCCCTCACTCTCCGGGCATAAACAGTGCAGGGTCTGAGGGCAAGGGGCACCACAGGGTGGGTCCTGGGCAAGGCTTCCCCCCATGCCCGAAGCCCTGCCCACTGGCCCCTCACTCACCAGCGTCTTGTAGTCAATCTGCTGCCGGATGAGCTTGTCCTCGCTCAGGGAGTAGCGCGCCTCGCCCGTGATGGCGTCGATGGGGCCCTTCTCCATCTGCTGCTTGATGGCGCAGTAAAGCAGGAAAAGCGGCTCCCCGGCGCACTCCTGCAGCCGGGCCAGCACAAAGCTTGCTGCCTGCCTGACAGCCAGCTACTTCCCCTCATCATCTCCCCTGCCGCCTGCCGGCCATGCGCACCTTCAGAAACTTATGCAGCAGGAAAGTGAACCAGTTGGTAAGCATCTTCTCAGCCACTGACTCAGTCCTAGGGTGAAAGGTGCGCTCAGCCCAGGCCTGGTAGGGGGCGGGGCCTGCCCAGAGGTAGAGCCGGCCAAGGGCAGGGCTGGAGCAGTACAGTACCTGCGCAATAGCAGCTTTGGGTGGTTCTTGCTTTCTAAGTTTTTCTCTATGAGGTCCGCCAGCAATTGCTTGAGCAGCCCTGTGGCATAGTCGAGGCGGCTCTGCAATGCCACCATGGTGAGCGAAGCCACGGTGCCACGGTCCCGCATGGAGAAGCTGCTCTGGGCCTCCAGCGTGTGGATGAAGGTAAGCACGAAGGCCCGGCTGTGCAGCAGCTGCCCGAAGAGGCGCAGGGCCTTCTCGACATTGGGCGGGGTCTGTGGGGCACAGGGCATCTCAGAGGGTGCGGGGGTGGCCCTGGGGGTGACAGGGAGTGGGCAGGCAATGAGGGGGGGATTCACATCCAGCTCCTTGAGCACTGGGTGGGCCTCGATGCCTGGGAAGAGTACGCGCACGGCATAGGTCCGGTAGTCCAGGAAAGGGATCTGCACGCCGTCCATATGGTTTGTCAGCTCGTTGATGTCTGTCTGCAGCTCGGCAAAGGCTGGGGAGGGGCAGAGAGGGAGAATGAACAGAACAGGCAAAGGAAGGCCCCCCAGCCCGCCCACCCTACACTGTACCCTGCCCCCAGGCACCTTCCTTGCATTCTAGGGCCACGCGGGACTCCAAGTTGTCCATCTGTAGCTGGAGCCGCTTGAGTGTGCGGTCAGCATCCTGAGTCTTGCGCTTGTAGGCGACCAGCACAGCGGTGATGGCCAGCAGCAAGAGCCCACCGCCCACTGCCAGCCCCACCATGGCCGGCAGGGTCAACGCTCGCTCGGCCGTGATGTGCAGGGTGCCCAGCCAGAACTCCAGGCCACCCACCAGCACCTGCAGGGACAAGTCCGCTGTGAGCTGACCTCATGCCCACCCCTACTCCCCTGATGGCCTCTCCACCCCCACCCACCATGACAGGCTGCCGGCCCGTCTGGCTGGGTGAGTCGCACAGGAGTTGTGTGTCCGAGACGGTGAGTGCACACGGCTGGCCCCCAATCAGGACTGTGTAGTTGAGACGGGAGTTGCCGGCTGCTGCGGGGATCAGATTCTTGCCCTACAGGTGGAGGACACGGTCAGCCAGGTCTCCCAGCCTCCCTGCCCCTCCTGGCCCCTGAGCCCCACCGGCACCTTTAACACTACGTGGGAGCCAGGTTTGACGTCCAGGACGCCGGAGGGCCCAAGTGGCTCGAAGCTGGGGTCGGGGTAGTAGGTAAAAGAGGATCGGTTGAGAGAGCGGGCTGTCTGCACGTGGTCTAGCAGGAAGCCAAACTCGTCAGGGTGCTCGCCCTGGGCCTGCGGCTGGGGCCGCCCCAGGAAGATGCCGGGGGCCTTACACAGCATAGCAGTGTCGTTGATCACCTGGCACGTCTGTGGGGACAAGGGCGGGTAGCCCGGCACATGAGGCCACAGGTGGGAGGGTGAGGGGTGGGGTGAGGGCAGCTGGCACTCACATTGGTGGTTTCAATGCCTCGGTACTTGGCCCGGACTCGGGGCTCCTGGACTGTCAGCAGGTGAGTCCCACTCACAGTGATGGCAGTGCTTCCGCTGGGGGCAGGGACGAGGGGCTCTGGCTCAGAGGAGATGTAACTTGAGGCCAAAGGCCCCAGTCATCAGGGGAGACCCCAGGACAGGAGCTCGAGGACCCAGTCCCCAATCCCCTCAATGCCAGACAGGCTCCACGTTTTCTCAAGGGTCTTACTTGATGATGCTCCAGGTGGGCTCAAGGCGAGTGACAGTGGGGTCCTGGGTGTAGGTGTAGAGGACTCCAGGACTAGAAATGTTGGCACGGTCGATAGCCAGGGTGATGGAGGCCTGGCTGGGGCCCAGGGTGGAGACGGGCGAGATACACACAATCGCTTCGGCATCTCTCCTGGGTCGACAAATGGGCCCTTGGAGCAGGCGGCCCAGGGCTATCACATGCCCTGCCCCTGTGGTCCCTACCCAGCGCCCTGCCCACCTCACAAACTGGCACTCGCCGTCTCTCACAGTCACTGCAACTCTGCTGCCAGCATCCAGAGAGCTACCGGAGATGGTGAGCCGTGTGCCTCCAGAAGCTGGGCCCCGACTGGGACTCACACGGTTGAACATTGGGGTCTGTGGGAAAAGCAGCCCTGAGGGGAGGGAGGAGGCAGCCCAGCTCTGGGGCTAGGCCTGTGCCCCTCAGAAGGGGTGGGCAGGGGAAGAGGTGGGCGGCCCACGCACCACGAAGCTGAAGAGCTGCTCAGACTGCGTGCGGAAGTCCGCGGAACAGTCGCCTACACAGAGCTCCACAGGCCCTGGCGGCGGGCTGGGCACCAGCGACTCCTCCATCTCACACACAATCCTAGGGGTCAGAGACAGTCAGGGCCAGCCACAGTGGATAGGGCTGGGCGGCGGCACAGCCACACTCACCTCTCAGCGCTGACATACTCGGCAGGGATGGAGTTGCAGCGCACGCCGGCCACCCGCAGGCCCACCTCTCGGTAGGTGAGGCCCAGGTTCTCGCCCACGATGGTGACCCGGGTACCTCCCTCCTTGGGCCCCATAAGTGGGTGGATCTGCAGAGCATAGGAGGCGAGAAGGTGAGCCCAGACTTGCGGGTGCCCGGTGGGTGGAAGGCGGTTGGGAGGCTGACCTGGGCAATGCGAGGGTGGCTGCAGCGGGTGCCTTTCTGGCTCAGGTGCATCCAGTTGGTCTTGGGTGCTGGGCAGTGGGCCCGCAGCTGGCACCTGTGCTCTGAGACGCACCAGCCGCAGTTGAAGCGGGGGTCAGCCTTGAGGCAGAGACCACAGCTAGGTCGCTGGGCCCAGCACTTGTACAGGAGAGCTGTGGGTACAGAGGGCACTGCTAGGGGGTGGTTACAGGGAGCCAGTGGCACCAACGGCCCTGCCGGAGGGTCCCCTGCTGGACCTGCCCCCAGTTCATGCCGACTCTGTCCCAGGAGGCGAGCTCCTCAGCTCCATCCTGCCCCTCACCTCGGAAGGTGGCAGGCTTGTCGATGGGGAAATCTCCATCCCAGACCACAGAGAAATCCAGCTCGGTGTCACCATACTCATCGCCTTCATAGGAGTACTGGGGGGAGAGGAACCTGCGTGACCTCAAAGAAGGTGTACAGACCTCCCGGCTCAGGAATCCCCAGCAGGAGGTTCAGAAGGCCCCCTGCCATGGCCACCTGAGGCTTCCACGCTTGGCCCTGCACGTCCTGGCCACCCCCTCAGGTGTGATAGGTGGGCCTCACCGAGGCATTCTGGCACTGCACACTGCTGCTGTTGAAGCGCACAGCAGGCACCCGCTGCTGCCGGCCCTGCACCCGGACCACGCACTCGTAGTTCTTCTGGCCCGACTGGGGCTGCGGCAGGTTCTTGGCCCGCAAGGTAAGAGGCTGCATGACACCGACTGGGATCAGGAGGTCCCCGCTGGGCAGGATCTCAGGGCAGCCCTGGAGGGAGAACGCCCGTCAGCTGCACACCAACTGCTGCCGTCCATCCGGGCCAGCCCCATGTTGAGGAGGCTCCAAGAAACCAACGAGATCAAAGGCAGAAAAGCCAGAGGCCAGCACACACGGAGCCCAGCCCCCTTGCTCGCGGCGCCCGCCTCACCTCAGGGCTGTGGACCCTGCCCTCCTGGAAGGAGCACTCGTGGGGGTGGCTGGTACACACGTGGCGGTACTTACACCAGTGGCAGGGGTAAGGGCTGCCGACGCAGGACATGCACCTGGGGAGGAGAGGCTTCCAAAATAACCAGGAAGGCCATGTCTGCCCCTCACCACCTCTCCTACAGGACACACAGGGGACTGAAGGAAGAAGACAGCAGGGCCCACACAATACAGCGAGGGACAAAGAGACGTGGGGACAGCGCTCAGGGAGACCAGTACTCACGACTGGAGAACACTGCAGTTGTAGAAGACAAAGTCGGCCCCTGCAAAGCTCACGCCGGTCTCCTTGGAGAGCAGCTGCAGCCGCACAGTGCGGGTGGCCCCTGCAGCAAGCCCAGGGCAACTGTGAGCAAGCTGGGGCCTGAGGGCGCCCCTGTCCCAGGCAGCCCCAGCCCACTGACCGTGCCCCCTGGTGAGCGTCCGGAGCTCCTGGAGGGAGGGCGAGGGACAGCGCAACTCCCCAGAGGGCAGCAGGATGGCCTCGTTCTCCGTCACCTCCTCAAAGGCACAGCTCACACCTGCGCTGAGGTCTGGCACGTTGCGCATGGCCACAGTGAGCTGGAGGAGGCAGAGGACTCAGAACAGGGCGCATCCCCCCAACACGCACAGGCCCACACACCTCCCACCCACCACGCCACTCACCTGCACCCCAGGTGATGTCACCGACACGTTGTTGGGCTGGACCCGCACCTGAACACATTTGCTCAGCTCCTTGGCAAAGCCATGAGGGGCTGAGGCACCTGGACAAGCCCCTTCGCGGCAGCATCTGCGTGGAGCCAGACCAGAGCCCGTCCCACAGCTGCCCCAGGAAGGTGCCGGCCGGGGGTACAGTGGGGCCTGAGGACAAAGGGGACAGGCAGCCCAGCCCACAGTGCCAGGCAACAGCATGCCTCAGCCTTGTTCCCTGGGTCCAAGGGACGTCACTCAGGGTGGAGGTTCCACTCATTAGCGGGAGAAAGTGGAAGGGGAGGGAGGGGGAGGCCGCAAGGGCATGGCTGGGAGCAGAGGGCCTGTGGGCTGGCCCCTTCCGGGAGCTTCACTGAGCCCTCACCTGTGCTGCAGCACACACCAACCACAGTGCGGGTCCCCCGAGCCCAGGCAGGCTGCGCAACTCAGGTATTGCTCGCAGGTCTCCACTGGGAGCTGGCTCACCTGGGGACAGCCACATCAGCACCCAGCCTGCCCCGACCCTGCCACCCACCGCCGCCCGCCACGGGCCCACCTGCTTCTCACTCAGGAGGTAGATGTGCCGGTGGTCAGGGCTGAAGAGGAGGTCTCGGAGTATGGGGCTGCCATCCACCACGGGCACTGTCTCGTACAGATGGGCATCCTGGGAGCCATCGACCCGCACCTGGGCCATGAGACCAGGGCAGAGGGATGACAAGCCAACCTGATGCCATAGTAGCACCCCACATACCCAGGGTGTCCTCTTCTCAAGCCAGGGACTTTCCAGGTTGTGGCCAAGCTGAAGCCAGGACCTGGCCCCCACAGGCCCTTGGGGGTGATTCAGCCAGCCAGAAAAGGCTCCCAGAAGATAGGGGCACAGAGGTTAGTGCTGCCTAGGGATGGGGAAGAGGGGTAACAGCTAAAGGGGCAGGGATTCTTTTAAGGTGATGACAATGTCCTGGATCGAGAGAATGCTGATGGTTGTACAATTCTGCAAACTTACTAAAACCACTGAAATGTACGCTCCGAATGAGGGAAGTGTATGGTACAAGGACTACACCTCAGTAACGCTGCTGCAAACGAAAAAAGGGCCTAGGAGGGAAGTAAGCCAGGCTCTGAGAGCTCAGTGGCTCCCTGCATAACCTTTCTCCTGGCCACCCCCAGACCTCCCCAAGGATGCCATTTGTTCCCTCATTCATCTGACTGAGGACCCAGCAATGATGGCTCAGCCACGGCCCCTGTTCTGCGGCAGGGAAGCCCTGAGATGGGTCTGGTCTCTGTCCCCACAGCCACAGGAAGCTGGCAATTCAGGCCACAGCAGGCAGTGATGCTGGCGAGGTGGATGGCTCAGGGGTCGGCCGTGGAGCATGGCCAGGCTCCTGGGGCCCAGCCTGAGAAGTCCCCCTCCCCCCATGGGCCATGCCCTGTTCAGAGTCTCCAGGGGCCCGTCTGCATGTTCTTGCCCCCAACCCTTGTCCCCTATGTCAGAGTCTGCCCTGATCTCCACATGCCAAGGCTTCTGGGGCCCACCTTCTTCAGGCTGCCACTGCGAGTGCCAATGAAGACCACGGAGTGCTGGTGGTAGGTGTAGGCAGCCACACTGGCCATGCCATCAGTGCTGTCAGCCAGCAGGGGCAGCCCCTCAATCACGTGCAGGCCACCCAGTGGCTGGTTCAACACCAGCCCGCAGAAGTTTCCATTTATCTGCATGGGCTGGTGAAACAGAAGGGATGTATATAAGAGAGCCTGGAGGCACCAGCTGGATGGAGGCCGTGGGACCCCACATTCTGGAAGAGAGCAAGAACTGACTGCTCGCCCTGCGAGCCCCACAGGAAATCAGGGGCTGAAGAGGGAGATGGAGGAGGAGGAGGAGGAGGAGGCAGGAGCGGGGAGAGAAGAGCAAGGCCTAGGCCTGCAAGATGGGGCCAGGCTGGGACACCCGTGAGACAGAGTAAGGAGCAGCAACCTGGGGATGGGTGGAGGAGCAGTAAGAGGAAGGGGGTGGTCCACAAACAGAGAGCGCCTGCCAAGAGAGCCAGTAAGACGGAAGGCCAGGGAAGGAAGAGAAACAGCAGATGCAGAGAGAGGACAAGACAGTGCGGGGGACCCCTGAGAGGGAGAAGCAGGTGTTCCAGGGCTAGGGTGCCACTCCCAAGGCCATGCCAGTCCACTGGCTGCCACGCCACTATCCAGGCCAGGGCTGCAAACCTGGGAAGGGGCAGATAGCCTGGCATAGGGGCAGGGTGGGGCAAGTGAGAGCTTACAGTGTTGATGCAGGGCAGCTCCTTGTTCAGCAGCCAAGGCAGGGCCAGTGTGCCCTCCCCGCGATAGCAGGACTGGATGCGGCGCCGGATGTGGGCATTGATGTTGCTGAGGGTAAAGAGGCAGAGGATGGTCTGCCTCGGTGGGCTGGCCCGGTTCTTCTGGCCTTGAGAGAAGACTGTGAAGAGGACATCCTCGTCAGCTGGCACACCCAGGGCCTGGGCCAGCAGCAGGCCGGGCTTGGCCAGGTGGGCGCTCTGCACCAAGCGGTACTCCACGCCGCGCCAGGAGCAGCCAATGGGGAACTCCACGTATGAGTAGAACTCCGAGTCCCCCGCGCACATGCGCACGATCTTGGATGTGAAGAATTTCTCGCCTGCTGTGTCCAGCAACGTCTGCTGGGTGTCCAGCTGCAGCGTCAGGAAGTACACAAAGGAGGCACTCACAAAGCCATAGATATAGTAGATGTCAAAAGCAGGGTACAAGGACAATGTGTCTGAGGGGATCTTGATCTGTGAGGAGACAAACTCATCCTGGTACACCTGGAGAGCAGATCAAGGAGAGAGCTTGGGATGAGGCCTGCGTCCATCGGTAACCTCCCAAACCCTGGGCCCTTGGACCCTGCAACACACCCTGGCCCTGCTCCCACAAAACGGTCCCCCCAGGCTTCCCTCACAACTCCCGACTGCCCACATGGTCACAGGAGCCCAGGCCAGAAAGGCTGCCAAGGGCAAGGTGAGCAGCCCCATCCTGTGCTCCAGCTGGTCCTGCTGTCCTCAGCAGCTTGTCCCCTCTTGGACTAGGGCTCTTCCAGAGGTGGAGCCAACACAAGGTGCAGGCAGGAGGGAACTGGGAGCTGGCTCTTGAGAGGGTGAGAAGCGACGCGAGGGAAGGAGGGCCCAGCAACCCGCCCAAGAGGGCGAATAGGCACTCACCAGACTGAACATGTCGGCACTGTCCTCATCACCGATGAGCTTTCGAGAGCTCAGAGTGGGGAAGTACTCAGACTTGCCATCCACAGCAGTGCCCACAAACAGCTTGCTGGGCCCCTGGCCCTGTTCCACAATGACGCCAGCCATGGAGTCGGGTTCCCGGGCCCCCGACAGGTAGTGCTCCTTGCGATGGTGGGGCTCGCCCAGCTTGAAGAGGTCATCGAGGCGCAGGAACTGGCAGATGCCCTGCCAGATGCTGCCACAGGCCACCAGGCGGCGGGCCGCATAGTCTATGAGCAGCAGCTTGTTCACGTTGTCCACAGGCGCCAGGCGATGGGCGCACACACGCATACTGGGGGGTGGGTAGCAGCGAGCATTGTCCTCAACAGGCCCCGTGACATGGGCCCGCAGCTCGGTCAGGTTGGGGGACAGCTTGAAGACACGATTCACTGCGCCCACAAACACCTCTCCAGTCACCCGGTGTACCGCCAGGTGGGTGAGGGTAGTGTCTGTCACCGAGAAGGCAGGGAAGGGCCTGCTGCTGCCCAGGGCCCCCCCCATGGCAAGGACGAGCAGTGAGAGGAGACAAACAGCGGGCATGGCCGGCGGCTGCGCCCAGGGACGGGCCTGAGGAGAGATAGCAAGTACCAGTCAGAGGCCCTCTGGCCCAGGCTGCCTGCCCTCCTCCTGGCCTGCCTGGCCTAGGGCCCCTGGCAGGCTGAGCTCTGAGCCACAGAGGGTGGAGGCCACTCACCCAACACCACGCCAGAGCCCCAGATGGTGACCGTGTCTGGGAGAGAGGAGGGGCCTCCACCAGGGCGCATGAGTGAACAGCAAGCACAGGCAGGCTTGGGGGCCATCAATCATCCCCCACCCCCCGCTGGAAAGGAGCCAGGAGGCCTTGCCTCAGCTGGGCCACACCCAAGAGGGCAGCAGAGCCAGATGCTGGGAAAGGCAGGGTGGGAGGCCCTCCCAGAACGAGACCCCGATCACCAGATCCCAGACTTGAGGGCAGCCAGCCACACAGAAGAGCCACCGTAGGCAAGCCGCAGGCCACAGAGACGCCCCATGCCCAAGTTGGGGGAAGGCGGAAAGGCAGGGAGAGAACAATCATAAGCCCCGGGGGTGGGGGGCACCACCCCAGAGTGGCACTGCCACCAGGAGCCCCAGGACAGAAGTCTGGGGCATCAAGGCCTGAGATCAGACCTAGCACCACCACATCCCCACTCCTGGCCCCAGCTGCCTCCTTGCCTGGAGGGCCTCCCTCAGCTGGCTGTCCAGGAGCCTGCTGTCTGGCCTACTCACTGCAACACAAAGCCGAGTCGCGCCTGCCCCCACAGCCACGCGCTGAGACAGACGTAAGTCAGGCTCTGCTCAGGCACAGCCAAACAGATGGCCAGGCAGCCGTGTGCTGCTCTCTCTCCCTCCAGGTCCAAAGGTTAGCTGGGGAAGGGGAGATGCAGAGGGACCCAAGGGGCCCTATGGATGGGGAGCAACATCCCCCAAAACAGCAAGGCCTTGGGAAGATGGGGGGGCCATAAGGACAGTGCCCAACTTGGCTGAGTCTTCACCCCCCAAGCCACACCCAGCCCTCTGGCCAGCCCCAGACGGCAAATACAGCAGAGCAGTGTCGTGGCAGCCAATGGGGCAGGGTTAAGCGCTACCCAGTCAGTGCCCTAGCCCCAAGCGAGACACAAGGTACCCAGACTGGGGGGCGCGGGGAACCAAACCAAGGAGGTGCAGAAGAGAGAAAGGAAAAAACACATTTCCTAAAACAAGGAGCAGGCCCAGCTTGAAGCCAAAGTTTCAGCTCAGACTGATCATCTCTCAGGGGCTCTTTTGTCAGGTCCACATCCTGGACCCCTAAACAACAGCCAGAGAAGAAAGGAAGGCCAGAGGGGAGACCACATCCCACCCTCACCTCCTAGGAACCAGGATGGGGACAGGGCTGGAGGGAAATCTGGAGAGGCAGGATTTGCAGCCCAAGCCCCCTCCCAACCTCCACCTGTCAGTGGGAGCCTCAGGCATCACAGGCACACCAAGCCCCTCTGCCACAGCCCTGCCAGCAGAGTGCCCATGCCCCGCGCCATGCTGCTGCCCGGCTCGCCCTGCCCCCACCAGGGGGCACCCCTCGGCAGAGCCACGGGGACCCTCGTGGACGGAGGCGCCGTAGCAGTCCTCGGAGGGGTAGCTTCTCTGCCACAAAGGGTCCCCATCGGGCAGGGAGGCTGGGCTTGGACTGGCCGTCCCTACCAGCGCAGGGCATGAAGGACTACTCAGGCCGGCGCCCGAGGGTCAGGAACAGAGGCAGGGCCCGACCCCCTGAAGGCCCCCGGGCTGCGTGAGCCCCGGGCCGCGGAGCATGCTGGCCCCGCACGGGTGGCGGCGGATGGGGGCCACCTACCTGTCTCTCCGCCGCCGCTGGCTCGGAGTGGCCGCCCTCCAGCCACGTGGACGCGCCCCCGAGCCCCACACTGGCCCAGCTCCCAGGCCCCAGCCGCCACGCCCCGCAACCGGCGCCCCGCGCGCGCCGCCGCCGCCGCCGCCACCAACGCCACTGCCACCGCCACCGCCCACACACTGGGCCGGCCCGGGGCCGCCCGGGCCTTTTAAACCCGGATCGTACCACCGCGCGGCGCGGGGGCACCCAGGGAGGGCCGGGCGGCAGGGCGCGCGGGCGGGGCCCCTCCTCCCCAGGGCCGGGGGCAGGCCTCGCGCGCAATCCCGGCCCCCGTGAGCTGCCTGGGTCTCCGCCCCGCGAGCCGACCCCCCTCGCACAATGGCCGCGTCCGCGGCGCGCGCCTCTCCCCTCCTCCCCGCCCGCTGCCTCGGGCAACCCTGGGACCCGCGCGCCCCCGCGCCACACCCACCTCGGGCCTGGGGCGCGCGCGGCTGGCACGGGCGCGCGCCGACCCCGCCCCGCCCCACCCGGCCCCGCCCCGGAGCTCTCAGGCGCGCCCGGGGCCACCTGCTGCCGGCGCGCGGCCTCCCTTGCTCGGCCAGTCAGGTGCCCTCCAGCCGACGACTCGCGGTCCTTGCTGAGGACACTCTCCCCGCGACGGTCCATAGCCCGGAGGGCCCGCGGCTAATAACATGCAAAAGCCTAGCACAGAGACTCGAGGGTGTCAAGCATTTACACCTGGTCCCTTTCCCAACCGGCCACCATGCTGTGAATCTGGGGTGTTCATTCCATTGCTTTCTTTTTCCTTTTCTTTTTAAACAGCTTTATTGAGAAATAATTCACCTCTCATATAAGACACTCATTTAAAGTGTAACTTTCAATGACTTTTAGTATATTCACGGAGTTGTGCAACTACCCCCACTATCAAATTCCAGAACATCGACATCACCACCAGAGGAAACCCCTGTACCCATTAGCACTCACCTCTAGTACCCTCTCCCTCCAGCCCCTGGCAATGGCTAATCTCTTTTCTGACTATGGATTTGCCAGTTCTGGACGTCTCAGATAAATGGATTCATACAACATACTTGTGTCTGGGGTTCTTTTACTTACTGTAATGTTTTCAAGGTTTGTCCATGTTTAAGCATGTATCAGGACTTCATTTCTTTATAGGGCCAAATAATATTCCATTACATGGATATACCACATTTTATTTATCCATTCATCAATTGGTGGACATTTGGGTTGTATCCATCTTTTGGTTATTGTGAATAAGGCTACCAGGAACATTAGTGTACAAGTTTTTGTGTGAACACTTTTTCATTTCCCTTCCACTTTAGAGTACAATTGCTGGGTCACATGATAACTCCTTTTTTTTTTTTTTTTTTTGAGGAAGATTAGCCCTGAGCTAACATCTGCCACCAAGTCTCCTCCTTTTGCTGAGGAAGATTGTTGCTGAGCTAACATCTGTTCCCATCTTCCTCTATGTTATATGTGGGATGCCTGCCACGGCGTGGCCTGACAAGAGGTGGTAGGTCCTCACGATCTGAACCAGCAAACCTCAGGCCACTGAAGGGGAGCCTGTGAACTTAACCACTGTGTCACCTGGCTGGCCCCATATAACTCTATTTTTAACGTTTTGAGGGAAACAGCCAAACTGCTTTCCAAAATAGCTGTACCATTTTACATTCTCATCAGCAGTGTTTAAGGGGTCCAATTTCTTAACATCTTTGCCAACACTTGTTGTTATCTGACTTTTTGTTTCTAGCTCTCCTAGTGGGTGTGAAATGGTATCTTGTTTTGATTTGATTTCCCTGATGACTAATGATGTTAAGCATTTTTCATGAGCTTGTTGGTCATTTGCTTATCTTCAACATACAAAGAAATCTGAAATGTCTACTTTGCCCATTTTTTAATCAGGTTTTTGTTTTGTTGTTGTTGTTGAGTTGTAGGAGTTCTTCATATACTCTAGATATCAATCCCTTATTATATATATAATTTGCAAATATTTTCTCTAGTTCTGTGGGTTCTCTTTTCATTTTCTTTTTTTCAGCTTTTAAAGATTTTATTTTTCCTTTTCCTCCCACAGCCCCCTGGTACATAGTCGTGTATTTTTAGTTGTGGGTACTTCTGGTTGTGGCATGTGGGATGCTGCCTCAGCATGGCTTAATGAGCAGTACTCTGTCCACGCCCAGGATTCGAACTGGAGAAACCCTGGGCCACTGAAGCAGAGTGAGCGAACTTAACCACTCAGCCACGGGGGCCTGCCCCTCATTTTCTTTATAGTGTACTTGGATGCACAAAAGTTTTAAATTTTGACAATGTCTAATTTATCTCTCTTTCGTTGCTTGTGCTTTTGTTGTCATATCTAAGAAACCATTGCTCAATCCAAGGTCACAAAGATTTATCCCTGTTTTATTATAAGAGTTATTTGGTTTTCACTCTTAAACTTAGGTCTCTGATCCGTTTGGGGTTAGTTATTGTGTATGATAGGAGGTTGTGGTCCAACTTCATTCTTTTGTATGTGGCTCCTATCTGATTGTCCCAGCACCGTGTGTGTTTTTTTTTTTCTTTTTTCTTTTTTTGAAAAGATTGGCACCTGGGCTAACAACTGTTGCCAATCTTCCTTTTTTTTTTTTTCTGCTTTATCTCCCCAAACCGCCCTCCCCCCGCACACAGTTGCATATCTTAGTTGCAGGTCCTTCCAGTTGTGGGATGTGGGATGCCACCTCAACGTGGCCTGACGAGCGGTGCCATGTCTGCGCCCAGGATCCGAACCCTGGGCCGCCACAACAGAGCCCGTGAACTTAACCACTCGGCCACGGAGCCGGCCCCCCAGCACCATTCGTTGAAGAGACTATTCTTTCCTCCAGTGAATGGTCTTGGCAACCTCATCAAAAATCAATTGACAATAGATATACAGTTTTATTTATGGACTCTCAGTTCTGTTCCATTGATCTATATGTCTCCCCTTATGCCAATATCACACTGTGTTGATCACTGCAGCTTTGTAGTAAGTTTTGAAACTGGGAATTATGAGTCCTCCAATTTTGTTCTTCTTTTTCCAGAGTGTTTTGGCTGTTTAGGGTCCCTTGCATTTCCATATGAATTTCAGGATGAGTTTGTCAGTTTCTGCCAAAAAATCAGTGGGAGTTTGATAGGGATTGAATTGAATTTTTTTTTTTTTTTTGAGGAAGATCAGCCCTGAGCTAACATCTGCTGCCAATCCTCCTCTTTTTGCTGAGGAAGATTAGCCCTGAGCTAACATCCGTGCCCATCTTCCTCTACTTTATATGTAGCACGCCTACCACAGCATGATTTGCCACGCGGTGCCATGTCCGCACCCAGGATCCAAACCAGCGAACCCTGGGCCTCCAAAGTGGAACGTGCGCACCTAACCGCTGCTCCCCCAGGCCGGCCCCTGAATTGAATCTTTAGATCAATTTGGGGAGTTTTGCTATCTTAACAAGATTAAGTCTTTCCATCCATGAACATGGGATGTTGTGATGATTGATTTTATGTGGTTACTAATTTCAATATAGTCCCCCACTGTTTAATCAAACACTCATCTAGGTGTTGCTGTAAAGATATTTTGTAGATGTGGTCAACATCTACAATTGGTTGACTTTAAGTAAAGATTACCCTCCATAATGTGGGTGGGTCTCATCCACTCAATTAAAGGCCTTAATAGCAAAAATTGAAGTTTCCTGGGGAAGTAGAAATTCTGCCTCAAAACTGTAACATAGAAATCCTGCCTGAGTCCCCAGCCTGCCAGCCTGCCCTACAAATTTTGGACTTGCCAACTTGCCAGCCTCTGCAATCGCATGAGCTAATTTCTCAAAATAAATCGTGAGAGAGTGTGTGTGTGTGTGTGTGTGTGTGTGTGTGTATCCTGTTCTGTTTCTCTGGAGAACCCTGACTAAACAGATGTCTTTCCATTTATTTAGGTCTTCTTTAATTTCTTTCAATGATGTTTTGTAGTTTTCAGTGGACAGGTCTTGCACTTCTTTTGTTAAATTTATTCCTCAGTATTTTATTCTTTTCGATGCTATTTGAAAATGGAATTTTTTTCATAATTTCATTTCAGATTGTTCATTACTAGCATATAGAAATACAACTTGGGGGGGCCGGCCCTGTGGCCGAGTGGTTAAGTTTGCATGCTCCGCTTCGGCGGCCCAGGATTTCGCTGGTTCGGGTCCTGGGCGTGGACATGGCACCACTTGTCAGGCCATGCTGGGGCGGCGTCCCGCATGCCATGGTTGGAGGGACCCACAACTAAAAATATGCAACTATTTACCGGGGAGCTTTGGAAAGAAAAAGGAAAAATAAAATCTTTAAGAAAACAAAAGAAAGAAATACAATTGGTTTTTGTGTAATGATTTTTTATCCTGCAACCTTGCTGAACTAGTTTCTTAGCTCTAATAGTTTTTTGGCCGATTTCTTAGGATTTGGGATATACAGTCGTCCCTGGGTATCCAGTGGGGGTTGGTCCCAGGACTCCCTACAGATATCAAAATGCTAGGACGCTCAAGTCTTTTATATAAAATAGCATAATATTTGCATCTAACCTACACACATCCTCTCGTATACTTTAAGTCATCTCTAGGTTATTTATAATTCCTCATGCAATATAAATGCTATGTAAATAGCTTTTAGACTATATTGTTTAGGGAAAAATGACCCAAAAAAGTCTGTCGGTGCTCAGTACAGATGGAACCATCGTAGGCCTTTAAAGCCACAGTTGGTTGAACCTGTGGACGTGGAACCCATGGAGAAGGAGGATGTCATCTGAAAACAGACATAGTTTTACTTCTTTTCCAATCTGGATGTTTTTTATTTCATTTTGTCACCTAACTGCCCTGGCTAGACCCTCCAGTCAAAGGTTGGATGGAAGTGGTTGCTTTCTTTCTAATTTTATAATTTGAGATGATCTCAGATTTACGGAAAAGCTGCACGAATAGTATAGACAGCTCCCATGTACCCTTAACCCACAAGGTCGTATTTGGCCACATTTGCTTTCCCATTCCCTCTCTCTCTCTCACGTGTGTGCACGTGTACATGAATATTATGCATGTTTATTACATAGAAAAATAATATTGTGCTGAACTATTTCAAAGTAAGTTGTATATATCTTCCCCCTTTACCCCTAAATGCTTCGCTGCGTATTTCCTGACCACAGTATAATGGCTGCACAATTGTTATAGCCTCCTACACCGCCACTGTATGACTATCAACATCAGAAATGTTAATATGGATACAATAATATTATTTAATCT